ATAATAAAAATACAAAAGAACTTTTCAATTTTCTCGTATAAAAAACTTTTAAAAGAAAGTGTTTAAGAAGTGCAATTTCCCTCTTAATGCATCAGGCCGGCCTAATCCAAGAGAGTTTGGTTATTTCAACTTGGCTGAACTCTTAATCAAATTTTTACCTAGCCAAGTAAGATCATTCAGACCAGACGCAAAGGTCGTCATTCCCACTTACTTCCATATCTTGTGTAAGTTTAAAAGATCGTGGAGTCGTATAGCTTGTAAGGTCTAGCTGTGAAGCTCTCCTTAAGAATAACAGAGTGTGTGGACAGAGATCACTACACAGTAACTCTGGCTGGGTCTAAACCCTGAACCTTTTCATCTGAAGTCCAGCGGTCTTCCTATCGATCCCTACATCCCTTATGTGGTTCATCTGCATTGTGATACATACTCACGAAAAGAACGTGAATTTGTGAAAAGATCAACTCTTGATTTGCTAAAATTAATTCAGCGGTGACAGTAGAAGGATTTTAGACAATAGAGTGAATTTGTACGTAATACTAATGAGAAGAATAATTCTTAACGGCCGTTGTGAACGCTACTTCGAATCAAATATATGTCCAGCGCTGAATTTTCGCGTGAAAATTCCTTATAAACCGATGCTGCAAATTAAAGGGTAAGGATTTTGGTCGGGCGGCGGTGACTGTAAAGTCACAATAAGCGTAAAAAAGGCAAGGTTATTCACAAGCACTACGTAAGCAGACTATGCACATTCATGACCTTTTGGCGCCACAGGATGTTTCTGGCTCTTTCTTTGCTAAATGCGGTGACCACTTGTTTTCAAAAGTCCAGTACATTTCGACGTGAATCACTTGTGGGTGTCCAGCGTGCCTAAACAGGTCACGAAAAAATTACACAAAGAATATATTTTGCTGAGTTTTGGGACTTTATCGTTTGCAGCGTCGGTTTTATTAGGAAAATATAGTGGTAAGGATGTATTTGAATAAATGATGAGAACTGTTTTTAATTGTGATTCGCGCTTTCGATGTGAAGCGTTAATATAGCTTTGAAGGTTACAGATGTATGGTGACCCATTTATTTTCGTCCTGGTTGCCAGAGGAAGCAAGTCAAACTAAAAAACAAATACAGATTTTTTTAAATATAGAATAACATTTGAGAGTTCAATGAAATGTAACATACAATTCGTAGGGCATTCCATACATCTTATAGATCTTTACGTAATCTTTGGCTGACCGTTATTTTTAATATTGGATTCGGCGCGTCTTTAAATAAAAAGTGGGGGTTGGTCCCCAAAATCCCTGGGACAAAGCTCTGTCGGCAAAACAAGTGAAGGCTTGTACAGCGCGGTGTGTAAAGATGGGCCAGTCTGCCATACTCCAAACCCCAGAGTATCTCTGAAGAGCAACCATATTATGTATTTCGCAGAAACATAAGATTATGCTTGAAATCGAAAACTCAACCGTTTATTTTCACAAATTTTTCCATAATCGAACCAGTAAGGCAGGTTTTCTGCGAACAGAAGATGCACTCTAACAAGGGAAATTACAATTCACATGAAATCAACAAAACCTTATCGACTGTTTCGAGTCTAGAGTGTCCAACAACAAAAATTTACGGTAATAAAAACATGTTAGTACGAATACGGCAGCTCTCATTCGAAGAGCATATGGTAAATTTCCCAGATCTCTACGTAAAAATATAGGCACCCAATGGGAGCTACAAACTATGCGACTACCGATGCATCTCGGAGCGAGATAGCATGAATTTCTAGATGGTTGTACAGATGAGTCTACACTAGTAGAGCTCGAGAAATGGTTGCGAAAACGAGTGGAAACATCGTTTAATCCCCCTGGAGTTCATATCGCTGAGTGGAACAAGAAGCTAAAATCTACTAGAGCAATCTCAATGATTAAACTGCACCCTCTTGCCACGGTGACAGAGCTCCCATCGGAAGTTCCACTATACGGCAACAGTTCTTCAGACCCAAACCCATTTGTTCAACTGCACCCATAGGCTGTGAATGCAGGGGTCCCTTCTGAAACTCGGAGAGAAGGTAGTAGTTTCAGTGAGCCCGGGCAAACCCAAACTCAGTTCCAAAGAAAGTAAGTGGATAAGAAGGTAGATTTAGTTGACAAACTAAACATTCCATCTAGAAAAATGACGAAAGGGGTGGCCATCCAACAATGCAGTCGTTTATCGGCTGTCGACCATGCTCAGCTTGACATGACATGGTTCATCTACTGATCTACCTTGAGGTCCACCAGGGACGAGTACATGAGCCCATCGCCGTGGAGACACCCATTGGGTGGACCTTCTCTGGAAATGCAACTAATAAAAGGAGTATGCGAAGCGATCCATGCGAACTTTCTTGCGTTGAACGAAAAACCCCCTTTTACGCAAAGGGTTGAACGAATTTAGGAGATTGATTCATATGCGACAAAACAAGCGGGTTATCCTTTAAAGATGAAGGCGCGTTAGCTACTTTACAGAGCATCACGGGAAAAGAAAGAGGACCGTGCTGTGGAGACGAGACCCGATCTTGCCGGACAACCGCGCGCGATTGCCGTCTCAAGACTTCTTTCAGGTGAGAAGGAACTTAAAAAAGAACCCACAACTGGCGGAGAAATAACAGAAAGTCATGAACGATTATGTCAGTAAAGGACACCCCGGTCACACTGGCCCCTTGGACAAGTGCCAAAGACGCTAGATAATGGTAGAGTGCGGATGCCAGATGTGAAAACTCGTACGGGAATCCTTATGGGACCTACCCGCGAAGTTACGTTGGATGAAAGAATCTGCTCAATAGAGTGAACAATGACTAGTGGAACGTTATTAATAGCATTTGTAAAATAAGACTCGTTTCTTTGTTGTCGATCGTCTTGTAGACACACTGTGGGAGGCGGGGGAACGTTGCAGCCACTGGTCATCTTGTCTGCGGCCAGTAAGTTATCCAGGATACCATGGGAGGGGGGAGAGAGTATGAGGTCAAAAAAATGAAGTGTTATTGTTCTTGTTGTTCAGTAAAGCCAATGTCAATAGATGTCACAAACGTAAATATACATCTAAATCATTTTCTATTAACACCTTCTGGAAAAGCAGGATAGAAAAGTATTTCGTAAGGTATCAGGCATAGACCGACACCCTCTAAGGGGACTATTACCCGAGAGGAAAGTATCGACTTACAATTTAAGGAATCGAACAAGTCAGTATCCGAAAGTTAATACAGATAGATTCAAGAACTCTTTCATTAATCGCTTAATTTTTAAATACAATTTAGCTATGTGAGTTTATAATTTAGATATATATACTTTTTACTCAAATATTGTAACATAAGATATGTATTTTTTATCTTGTGAGGAAATAAAGACTACTACTACTACTACTACTACTACTACTACTACTACTACTACAATATTCGGATCAGCTAATTTTTTCACTTGCTCGTGCTAAGGATAGTCCGTGCCCACCTTCGTTTATTCCTTCTTTAACCTTTATTATTCAGATTGATCTACTACTTCCAACCAAGAACTTTCATAAATGCTATTCATTTAATTATTCAAATAATTCGATAAACTACCATCATCATAACCATTTCACCTGGCCAATCGCGGACGGAGATGTAAGCATGCTCGACTGCGTAGCCGACGGCATTACCCACAATGCAAGTGTACTTGCCCCTGTCCTTCTTTGTAACATTTACCAAAGTCAACTTCACACCGTGGAATTCAAACTTTTTGCCGCTAGATGATGAGGAAAGTACATGTTGGTCTGTTTCGTCTTTATCCACGATTTCGTAGTGTGGCCTTCCAATTGAACCGTTGGTTGAACTGTTGGTCGAAGCGTTGGAATGCATGGGAAACCACCTTAACCACTGGAAATGAGGCTTGGAATCACTTAATGCTTTGCACGTGAGGCTGGCATTTTCCCCTCGATAGACCGTGACATTTTCCATGGGAAGAAGGACGGGTTCAGCACGAGCTCGTTAGAAGCGCTGTCCGGACACTGTTTGCCGAGGAGATTGCAGCACGAAGTATCACAATTTCTTGCGTTAGACAGAAAATACAGAGCAATCCAGTACTATGCCGTCTGGTGCCCAAGCGCGTATATGACAGGGTCCGGGCAGAATGGCGGTTCAATAGCACATCTGACGACTTGGGAAAAGTAACAGCAAATCCACCAGAAGAAGAAGAGACGATTGACAACTGCGTCAAAAGAATGTTTCAAGTGAAAGAAGACGATCAGCAGAGTAGTGCGTCGTCAGACATTTTGTCCTCTACTGAAACCACTGCGAAGTCCCGAGGCTTGTTTGCCGCTGAGCATGTTCAAATTCTGCTACATCTCTTTCAAGATATGATAAACGGTTCGCCAATTTCAAAACAAAAAGTCAGTGCTACTTTACAAAATGACAGCACTGGCAAATTCCTGTTATCGAAGTTCACCTTGGCACAGATTGTGAATCGGTTGAAGTATGAAAAGAAGCAGAAAAGAGAGAAGTAGAAAGCCAAAACGTAAACATTGGCAAACCAACCAGACAATGTAATTTGGTTATATCAATCAAGTTGAAATTGTAAATTGGCCACCGTAAAGAGTTAAAGACACTTACCGCCTTTAACCAAACAACGACCTGATGGTCTTTTCGAGCGGGTTAAGGTGGTAAACAGAGTGTCTCAGAAAAATTTGAAATATAGAGTCGGTGGAAGTTCAGTTTAACCAAGTGTTTCAGTATTGTTTCTTAGATCAAACTGTTCACTTCTCTCGAGATTTGGTTTGCGCAGAAAGTATAAATTTGCGAATAAAGAAAAGGCTTCGGCTGGAAATCGAAAATTGAAAGCGAACACTGAAAAAAGAAGCCAAAAGAAGCCTAATCGTAAGATGAAAAGGTGCCCTCTCACAGGTTGCATGACCACTACTAACCGACTGCCTCAGCATCTGCAGAAAGCTCATAAACTACAGCGCGCGTCTCCCAAGTATAACAAAGCTGTTTCAATGGCAAACGTAATCTCACGTGACAACCCTCATATTTTCCTTAGAATGAAGCAGGAAAGTGAAAGATACCAAGGCCCAGACTTTGAAGATGCACTGTCGGTAGGTGGGGATGGTGAGGAGGTTGAGATGGCGGAAGGCAACACCTCAGTTAGGTCAGACGATCAAGAAGCCGATACAACTGAAGCGAGCTGTGACTCTGCTAGCCAAGCCTCAGGTAATATCGACATTAAAGGTGATGACGTTTCAAAGACTATGAGCGCATTTCGAGACTGGCTTCTTTCACCTGATGGGGGCAAGAAAGACAGGAGGACAGCAAAGAAACACGTTTCCCAATTACACAAGGTGCTCTCAGTAGTTGGTAAAGGAGTTCTACTATCGTCTTTATTGGACACGAAAAGAATAAGGGATACTTTCCTTCAACGTTATGCAGCAGAGAGGTACCACGCAGCCACAATCAAGTCATACCTACTGAGTCTGCAACACTATTGCTCGTTTTTGCTCGCAGATCAGCCCAGCGGTGTCGTATTCGACAAAGAGCATGTCCTCAGATTACGTGAGAAACTGAAAAGGTGGTCAGCATCATACAACCGCGAGAACAACAGACGCAGATGGGAGAAAATGGAGGAAGACAGAAACGCCCTCATGACTCCCGACAAAATCTGTGCATTTGAGAGAAGCCAGGCGGCAAGAGAGGCAATTATTCTTCTGAGTCAACTGTGTGGGACC